AAGAAGCAAACCTACGGGTTTACATTCTTAAATTATTAAACATATTGGTTTCTAATTTAAAATTGCACTGAACTCTAAATTAATAATAGTAAGAGAAGGCAACATATTTTAAACATACCTTGTTTTGTTACAAATCTCAACGTTTATGTGAGCACCAAATCGCAATAACAGATAGCGATTATAAGGTACAACCCACCGATTATCAAGACCAACATCTCTGCTGTTAAATGTCCTACCATTGTCTCTTCGCCGATACTTAGGGAATCCATTTTCATCAATGGTAGTCTGCGTACAAAAATCCTTTGGATAATGCTTGCTACAACGCCCATTCTTCATGCATGAATTATTTGGATTCAGTGCGCCACAAGGTCCATGCATCATAGATGTTGTAAAAATAGCATAAAGTTCAGGATCAAGATCAGGATCAGGTATTTCAGCAGAAATTATTGTATCAATATCAGAAGGTCCATGAAACTTATTTTCCTGGGCAAGGAATAACAATGTATGTGCATGAGGTAGCCACGCTTTTGCCATTCAATTGCTTTTACATCTGTGAATAATCAATAAGCACAGAATACCAAGTTTTATAAACAGTAATTAGTCGTATAAAAATTTTAAATAAAAAAAGTTTGGAGATAATTTATATACATACATGCAGTTATCTTGCCTAATATTTCCTTCTTCCTGATCTCCAGCATAAACTCATCGACCTTCATCTTGAATACCCTTGCTATAATATCAGCACGGTTTGGATCTTTTCCAGAAAATTCTCGAATAATATCAACCATATTTTGTATCTCAGGCCAACTGGAGTTACAGGTGAATGTAATAAACAAATATGGATTATCCCAACCATTTGCAAATCGCCATAGCATCCTGAAAATTTTCATACTTGTATCTTGGACTACCTGTATGAGTTGCAGCCAAAATCACAGGCTTCCCAGACAATTTCAGATCATTATCACCACGCAAATAAGAATTTAACAACCCTTGGTAATGATGTCCTCTCAACCTTGATTGATTGTTTCTCACCCAATCTAAGCGTTCAGCCTCTATAAGAGCATAAGCATTAACCACATATTGTTGAAATAACTTTCCAGCAAGGAACAAAGAATTTGACTCAGCAAGCCTAGTCTGAAGTCGATAACAATAGTAATCACATTGAGTTATCATTCTCTCTCCTGCACCAGCCAAATATGTAGTTGCTGAATAGAAAATACCGGGATGCCATCCGTCCTCTCCATATGGGAACAAAACAGGATATTGTAACGCCATTAGACTGGGATGATATGGACTAATTCTCTCCATTTCAGTACTTCGAAGTTGAACAATAATATCCGGTGAAAAAGTTTCTTCTCCTGTCTCATCAACAATCAATGTTGCTATCTCACCTGCCGAAGGTAAATCATATTCCCTACTATTGATTTCACATTTTGCCAATAACTTCAACCGAAGCTCCTCCACACCATCCTCAAATATTATGTCTCTTGCAGACCGAAAATGATGAACCAAAATATTATGCGTATCAAACATTTCTTGCAAACCTTCAACAATAGAAGCACGTAATGGATTCTTCTCAGGATCAGATGAGTAGAAACTCAATCGATTTTGTACCTCGTTGTCTGAATCGTGAATATACAACTGTGCAAAATTTGGACTCATCCCTTCAGGAGGAACCATACTTCCAATTCGATGATAAATTTGACCACCAATTGAGTAAACATAAACACCGTGGCCGTCATTAATGGAGTGGTTGACTTTACCACCGATAGATATGAAAGAAAACACTCCATTATATCCTCGACTATTAGTACGGAAATACGCGATTCTGGGGTATCACCTTCAAGTAACATTTTCAGGAATTGAGGAGGATGCCTACGAACAGGGAGTTTGACCATCCCATTTCTACAACACAATGAAAATGAAGGCGTAGAATAATTTCTTGTAGATGAAGTGCTCTCCAATCGCCACATGAGAGCTCCACAATGCTGACAGGTACATGATGGCGGACCAATATCAAAATATTCAACAACAGGGATACCTATAATAAATTATAAAAAAGGGATAACTATAAGCACAAAAATACTTTGATTAATATTAAGAAATTAGACCATAACAATAAAATAATAATTAGTAATAAAATATGCTACTTCCATGCTTTACCAATGCCATATGAATAACCCCTACGAATAAAAAGAATTGTAACTAAATGCATCAGGTTTCGCTGGGAGAGGGAAAAAAACCCATCACAATATATCATTAAAATAATAATTAGTAATAAAATATGCTACTTCCATGCTTTACCAATGCCACTTGAATAACCCCTACGAATAAAAAGAATTCTAATTAAATGCATCAAGTTTCGCTGGGAGAGGGGAAAAAACTCCATCACAATGCAAACTCATACAGATGAGGAACTAAAAATTTGGATTCTGCGACACAAACTCATACAGATGAGGAACTATATATAGATACAAAATTACAATACAACTATCAAAGTCATGCAAATACATAGTAGCCTAACTAATAGATACATCTGGGGAAAATTTGGAGTATAGATACATATATACAATTCCATCACAACAATGATAAAAAGCTCCCCTCCTAAATACAACATACATAGCTTTCTTTGAGTCTGAAAGTAGGTTCTTCCCAAACGTTTTCTATGCAAGTGAATGTGGCGCATTAGTCTACTACGTTTGCCCAAAAGAGTGGCAAACTCCATTTCAACACCCGTAGAACCTGGAAAATTACCAAACCGACTGTACTGAGCATATAAATAAGTACAAACTATCTTTACAGAGAAACAAAGATAAACACTTTTACAAATGGCTACCTTTACCTTCAACAACAGATCGCCTCCTACGTCTCTTATCTTGAAGAATAAGCTGCCTTCTTTGTCGAGTAGTTTGGGACAACTTTCTGGAAATGGACATGAATTCGTAGTGCAACCGTTTGTTTACTACACACCCACATACAAATTAAAACTATAAGCACAAATCACATCAAGGTATCCTCACAAAGTAATTGGATATGACCATATGTACCTTTGTCATAAACTTCTTGATCTTCTACGTACATGACAAACCTTTGATAAGTGTCTTCTGGATGATAAAAGATGGCTCTCCCTTTCTCTGCATTACAACCAGATTAGGAAAGCTCATAATAAGGCTCCCAAATTCAACTACACTACAGTTAAATATACACAAACACACAAGGGGCAGATGGTCTATTCTGTTGTGGTTGGCCAGAGGTAGCAAAACGTGGTGGCTGGCAATTCTGTTCACCTACAAATTCAGCAAATACAATATACTGAGCACTCCCCATTTAAAAACATTCTAACTGGCAATAGTACTGATTACTATTTCACAAATACCTTTTCAAGAGATGCATCAGCCTGTATGCGTAAAGGTTGAGTACTTGACTCACCATGATGAAATTCCATAACGGTCATATTAACAGAGGGCAGCAACAGTTATAGCATGCGAGAAGTCCACACAATAACCTTTAAAACTGGTCAGAAAATGAGATCCCAGTTGGGCAAAACCAAATAGAAGTCAGGACACAGAACAAAATGCAGCAGCTTCCAAAAAAACAACGTCAAACCACCAGATGGTTTCATACACTACAATCATACTACAAATCAAGGGGTTCAAGCCAAATCAAATATTCAGACAACAATTTCCTATTGACACGGCATATAATTATATATAAACATGATCCAGCCATCAATGGAAACAACAAGAAAAAAACTCTAATTATCCTTCTGCTAGCCAATTCGCCAATTAGACATTGACCATCAATTTTCTCAGGTAGTTTTGTGTTAGGCCAAAAAATTTGAACCTGGGGTAGATTGGAACCAAACTTCCCATTACTATTAATGGTCAAAAGTACAAAACACATCAATTACTATAAATGTATCCAATTACCAAGTGCATGAGATAGATTGGACACATACATCTGAAGCGGGTGTGCTGCTGCTGTTTTCTTGGAGCGGTGGCTACACAATCACCAACATTCAAGGCAACCATTGGAAAATTAGAAAGAGGGGCAGCCATCGCCAAAATTAAAAAGAGGGTAACCTAATGAAGAGAACTTACAGAGGCAGGGCGATTCATTAATCTCTCCAACTGGGATGTGAAAAATTCGGCCGGCAGGGAGAGATGCAGCAGCAGTTTTCATCAAACTATGATTAAGGAAGGCATGATAAAACAAAAATCTCTGGAAACTTGGTTCTCAGACCACGCAAGAACGAAGCAGCAGAAGGAGCGGACGCGCAAATCCAGCTCCTCGAGAGAAGGAGAAACGTGTGATAAAAAATCCAGCCTTTTGGGTTATCTCCTATCTCTAGACCTCTTTGAATTTCGCTTCTAGTATCAGAAATTTCCGCCGGAATTTAGTTCCTCGCGAGAACTCAAAATAACACAGCCGACCCTCTTATCTATCGATTCTCTACCGTCTCTGAATGTGCTCTGCAACGCTGCAAGGGCTGAGGAAAGTCGGCTTTGTCCAATCTTTTGGGCCATGGAAATCACATAAGCCCAGTGAAGGAAAAGGGCAAGGCAGCCCGCTTTCTTCTCACTCAGCCAAAATTTCCGCTGCCAAATTTACCTTCCCGCAAAACGCTATGAGCATCGGAAATTTGAAATGGTGTTTGGGTTTTTAGCTTCCCGCTTTTATAATAGGTGTAGATTTGAGTATGACAACCAGGCATAGGAATTAATTTGACAATAAATTTTATATGTTAATTTATTTTAAAATAAAATAAATTCTCAGTACGTATTATACCAAACATTATGGAAATTACCTTCAAAACCCAAAAACCGCCCAACAAAAACTAAAATATCCCATTTCAAAAAATCCCAGCCGTCACAAACTCACAATCGGACGATCTAAAGCACATACAAAAAAGTTAAAAGTAAAAATTGGGCAAAATCTTATTTGGCGCTAAAAGGGCAGTTTCTAAACGTTGGTGGGAAAACATCCCCGAGTGCTCCCTTCAAATCCGGCGGCCAGCGACCGTATCGGCAAAGGCGAAAACTTTGATCCCCTCCGTAGGCAACCCTTTTTCCCCATCACAGCTCGGTGTTTTCTTCCTCAGGTAGAATTTGCCTCCGTCTACTCTCGTCTCGTGTGCATCTGCTTTTTTTTGGCTTCGTTTGATTTCCGCTTGCTTTGCCTTATCTCCTTTTAGGGTTATGGGCTCATAGTTGAAGGTCTCCCTTTTTCTTTTTCTTGTCTTCAATAATCGCTTGTAGCAATTATTCTAATTTCCCGTCCCCAATCCCCGTTGAACTCTCTGTCCTTCTTAAAGGCAACTCCTTTATGGATGCATCATCGGGGAAAGGAAAATCTCATTTATAGCTGCTTGTGCTTGAAAATGCCAAAACCTAGCTTCATTGTTAATACCCATGTACTCCATGTCTATTTTGAGTTATTGTAAGAAGTCCAAATCAGCTCTGTAATCATTTTGTTCCTTAGTGTTTCGAGATTTTAACTTTCTGTTTGTGGCAGGAGAAGTTTGTCGGTGTTCTTGAACTATAGCTCATTAGTTAAACCAGTGACGGTACATGTGATTGATTATGGGGGTAAAAGTGGATGATAATGTAATGGTGATTGATGTTGAATTTGATGGTCTTCATCCTGTGGTTAGTGTCGATGCTCCAGAGTCATTTCGCCATAGATTGAGCTATTCCCGTGCAGTAAAACTAGGGAATAAAGTCTCATTTCAGCTGCTACTTAGAATTTATGATGATGGTGAAGATGGGGATGGTGAAAACTGCGGTGGATGTAATGTGGGCTGTGATGAAGTGAAGGAGGAATATCATGAGATTTCCGGTGATGATGATGAAGATGATTGTGTTAAAGGGCATGCTTGCAGACCAACGAAACCACCAGATAAAAGGTACGATGAGGAAGCCTCTCCTGGTAACGGTCCTGGTTCGAGAAAAGATGAACGTGGTGATGATTCTTTTGACTGTAAAGATTTTGAAAAAGGTTCTTATGGAAAGCTTGAAGAAGAAGAAGAAGAGTGTGAAAAACCTCGCCCTCCTAAGTGTGAATCTGGTTTTGACGATATGAAGGTGCCTACCAATGATAATCCTCGGAGTTCAAATTCGGGTCCAGGAGATAATCCGGAGAAGAAGCCTGATGAGGATTGCTTTGAGGGAAATAAGACACTTGGGGAAGATGAAAATTATGTCCCTGAAGAATGTCAGACTCCTGAGTACTGTAATGGCACTACCTTTCAACAAGAGGAAAAAAGAACCAATGATCATCAGTTTGATTGCCGTGGAAGTTTTTCTTTCGATGAGGAACAATATGCTGAGTTTGTATCCGACTTCCGTCCCCCTCAAAGCAGCAATCCATCTCATCCAGCTACAACTAAGTACGCTAGCCATGTTGTTCAGGACAGTATAGTTGACGAGCGAGAGAAAATGAAGAAGACCGATGAATACAAACGTGCAGTTGAAGCAGAATGGGCAGCAAGGCAGCAGGAAATTCAAAATCAGGTGTGGTTGTTTTCCCTCTCAGTGGATCATTCTTGTTGTTAATTGTCACCACTGGCGCCAATAATCATTTTGTGACTTTGTTTAACAATTGGAGCCAACTGCATCTGCTTTGCTTTTTTAGGCAGAAGAGGCACAAAGATTGCGTAAGAAAAGAAAGCTTGAGATCAGTGAGGCAATAAAGAAGGTTAGGTTAATAAAGACTCAAAACTTTTTCCTGAGAGCTAACTTCTTCTGCAAGTAAATTCTCAGATTTTTGGCTGTTTAATTTTCAGGCACAAGAGGCAGAGAGACAGCTAAAGAGGAAGAAGGAAGCTGAGTTGCGTGCTTCAGAGATTAAGACGAGGCAGGAACAGCGAGTAAAAGAAATGAGGGAGGCAAAGAAGAAGGTAAAGGCAGGCTCAAAATTTCCTGCAAATGGTGTAAAATAACTTGGCATTGCCAAGATGTTGTGGTTCTGATTGAATGCTTTCCAAACCTAGGATGAGCTAGATGGGAAGGCGAAAGAGAGATATCGTGCTGAAATTAAAAGGAAAATTTCTCTGCTGCAAGTTCAATGCAGAGACTTGCCATCACTGCTACGCAATTTGGGGTTCAGAATTAATGGTGGCGCCACTCCTTCTCCAGAAGAGGTTAGTTCAGCACCTGCTCTTATATAGATTTTCTAGCTTAAGGTATTGCTTTCCTGAATCTCCAGACCTGGAATTTCGTAAGTCGTAACTACTACTTCTATTGTCTTCTGATTTAATTGGGAATCCTTAGTTCAGAAATCAGAACTAAAGATGAACCGATTAAGTCGACATGTTTAAATTTTGCAGTCTTGTGCATTACATACTTGTACATTTTGGCAGTTGCCCAGACCAAAATGCATAGGGTTCCTACTGATATCAGTGTAAATGGTGATTTTTTCCCCTCCAGGTGCGTAAGGCTTGTAGAGAAGCTTTGCTGAAGTACCATCCTGATCGATGGCCGAAAACTGACATTCGTCAGCAGGTTGAGGCCGAGGAAATGATCAAACTTATTAATCTGATGAGAGGATAGTTCTTCTCTTCAGTCTTCACTACTGATGTCAGAGAACTAGTTGTAACATAACCAAATACTTACAAACTGGTCTTTCCAATCTATCTTTGTAAGCCTCTGTTAGTTTATAACCTGATTCAATCTGACTAAGGATAGAAGAAATGGTAATAGAGGGAGCGATCATCTTGTTACAAGCAAACGTAGCTCGGTTAATAGTTTTGTCGAGCTTGTAAATTAGTGATTATTTTGTTACTGGTTTATTAAACCCTCAATATAATCTCACCTTATATTTGAATTTGAAGTTAGTATCGACTACCTATAATAATATAAGAAATTCGTGTAAGATAATCTTATCATTAAGCTATATATGATTTATTTTGGAGTGTACTTATGTAAGAGCACATGAGTCATAAAATTATGCTTACATTGATCGTGCATACATATCGTCAAAAGATCAATTGTGAAGTGAGAAGAAAAAACAATTGGAATGAGATAAGGTGATAGCTCGTTAATGGGTTATTACCGAAAAGTTTGACTACCACATAGAGATTTCCATCCTCCCTAAACAACTGTCCAATGCAATAAAACATATCCACATCTCGTCTATAGTTATCTTCTCATGAATTCATGAACTATACAATCCCAAAATTCATGTATACCGCTCCAGCCAGACTTCTTAATGGGATACGAGATGACTAACAATGATGCAACATATGATTTCGAAATAGACGATCAAACCAAATATAAAAGAGGGAGTTGAACCTGGCTCGGACCCGATATTCCAAATTCATGCCTGGAGTGATTGCTAAATTTTTAAAAGGAAAACGACGACGAATGAGTAGACAAGCACGAAACTCCGCACCAAAAAAAAAATGTAACTCGAAATGAATGTATTAACTTAATTGTCTCAAACTATTTGAATATGCAATCTGCCAAACATCTTTGAGCGAAAAAAAACGTTAGTCGCTTGCTCTCGTTAAAAAACATCAAACCGCTAGTTGCATAACAAGAGAGTCGAACGATCAACGTCACACCTCGTCGTCGTAGCTAAAGTATTAGGCAGACTGATTCACATGGATATTGCTCGACTCGAAAGAATAGACTTTTGGATTAAATTGGTATCCCAAGGTGGGGGAATGGCCACATCTATCCAGCAAGAATACACTTCACTCACAGCGTCAGCAGCCCACCTTTAAATTGATGGACTCGTAGTTTGCATTCGTACACGCCTCTTCCCTTTTGTCACTTTCTCATCGTACTAAAATAAAGAAGAAGGGCCTTACTACTGAGTGAACAAAACTGCCACTCTGGAAACAGAACAGAGAGTCAGAGACAGAGTACTAAGTCGGAGCAGTACTGAGTTTTCCATTCTTCCCAAACGTTCCTTCTCCTGGAATCGTCCAGCAACAAGAAAGGAAGAGAGAAGCACCAAATACAAATAGGTAAGCAAGTTCGATAGTTCCTTGCTACTTTATCATGTCTTTGTATATGTATAGTTGCATATTTTTTATTCCTCAATATCGAAAGTTGCTCCTTCAATCCATTTACTTGTTGAATTTAACTCTACTCATTCCCGTTTCGACTCGATTCGAACTACGGTTTTAAAACTAGAACAGTCGACATCGAGTTAAACCTCTTCCGTCAATAAGTAAAAAATTCAATACACAAAAGGATTCGTCAACTGTTTCATTGTTTGTTCAGTATAAATCTATTCCTTGTAGAGTCTTGGTCTAAAACTACAATTAGTGTTATGAGCACTCCCATGCTTTTTGAGTCCCACTGTTTGTTTGAAATTGAAATCTCCCATCCTCACTTAGAACTGGCAATCATGTTTGTTTAAAATGAGAGGCTTGACATTCAGTCATTAGTTCTTGACCAAACGGTACAAGATTAATATGCGAAAATCAATATATGTGCCATTATTTTTTCAACCAAAATTCACTAATTCTTGCTTCAATTTAAACCAAAAAATTTAAAAACTTTGAAAAATCACAACGCTTATCGTCGATTTAGATCTTCTCATTCTCAGAAGATATAGTATACTAAAACCTTCTTTCTTTATATGAAATCGAGTATAAAGCACCACTAACTACCTCATGAAAAAAAAAAAAACACACTAATTCAACATCCCAACAACATCATTCAAAAGCCAATAGTTTCAGGCTGTCAAGATGGCGATGTGGTGTGGTGGAGTCCAACTTCAAGTAGGAGTTTCCTCGACCGTGTCAAAGGTTTCATGCAATGCCTAGAAAATCCCTTTTTTCTTTATGAACCAACCGACCTTTTATTGCACAGTTACTACAGTTTATAGCTACAGTGACAATTTCCCATTTGAGATGGTAACTCAACTGTTGGGGCACGTGCCGTGTTTGAATGACAATCCATCCTGTAATTTCAACTCCAGTTAACTTAACACAGACACTGAGGCGCTTTTATTGGTCCAGCAAGCAAAATTGGTCTCCTCATCACCAATTCACAAATTTCCTTTCTATGTTCCTTCATATTATGCAATAAATCCTATATATAAAATATATATTCAGTTTCTTTCCTCACCACCCTAAAAGTCTTTCTATGTTTAACATTGCTACATCCCCCCATTCTGCCTTCAGATCGTGGCTCAATTCATCCAACTTCCACTTCCACCAAAAAACTTCTACAGGCGCAACAGCAAAGGTTTGGAACAAGAAGAAGGAGAAACTGGCAAACAATGGGAGCCCTCATGACACTAATCATGTTCTTCTGCTTGCCATGTTCTATTCTTCTCCTCCTTGTGCTGAATCTTCTCAGCTTCTTGAATCAAGTATGGCTGAGACCAATCATGATTCAGTCTTCAATGGCTTCCCAAGGAATCAAAGGCCCTCCTTACAAGTTCTTGCATGGGAACACCAGAGCGATCAATCACATGAGAAGTGAAGCTGTTGGTACTCCAATGGAGCTGCTTTCTCATGATATGCTCCCCAGACTCATGCCTCATGTCTATTCATGGACCAAGATTTATGGTAAAGCACACATAAAGTTTCAATCTTTGAGGCTTTTCCCCCCTTCCCTTCTTTCTTGTTCAGAAAGGTAAATTCTGTTTCCCCCCTTTTCTTTGGTTGTTGTTGATGAAGGGATGAACTTTCTGAACTGGTATGGAACAAAGCCACAACTGGTTGTTACTGATCCTGAGTTGGTGAAAGAGGTGCTGAGTAATAAAGAAGGAGCATTTCCAAAGAAGTTCATCCAGAGTTATGCTGACAAGTTGCTTGGGAATGGGCTGTTTGCATCACAGGGAGAGAAATGGGTCAAGATGAGGAAACTTGCTAACCAAGCTTTCCATGGCGACTCTTTGAAGGTATCCCTCTTTCTCTGCAATCTGAATGCTGACAGAGTTAGATTAAACAAAGCATGCTTTATAGCAGCAGAAAGCAAGTAAGTCAAGAATTTCAATATGGGTTCTTTTTCCTTTCCTTATTTTACAGGCAATGATTCCTGCAATGGTAGCTAGTGTGGAGGCAATGCTTCATAGATGGAGAGATGCGAAAGAGATTGATGCATATCGAGAATTCAAGGTTTTGACATCAGAAGTGATTTCCAGGACAGCTTTTGGGAGTAGTTATGTGGAAGGCAAGAACGTTTTCGATATGCTGATGAAGCTTGGTCTCATTGTCAACAGGAACAACTTCAAAGTTAGCAGCATTCCATGGTTGAAGTAAGTGCATATATATATATATATATATATATGCTTCATTCCTTGTTCTTTTTAATCTGTTCTTCCTTTTGGGGTTTGCTGTTAGTTAGTTTAACCCTTTTTGATCCTGGGTGTCAACAGGAAGCTCTGGAGAACAAGTGATGACATTGAATCAGACAAACTGCAGCAAGCAATTAGGGAAGCAATCATAAATCTGATTAGGAAAAGAGAGGGAAGGGATAGTGATTACTATGGAAGTGACTTCCTTGGATCCCTTCTCAATGCTTTTCATGACAGTGACTTGTCCAGGAAGGTAACCATTGACGATGTGATTGACGAGTGCAAGTCATTCTACGTTGGTGGCCATGAAACCATCACAAGTTCCCTCACTTGGACAGTTTTCCTGCTAGCAATTCACACAGACTGGCAAGACAAGGCAAGAAAAGAAGTTATAGAATTACTTGACCAACAAAATCCACCCACACTTGACGGTGTCTCTAGATTGAAGATTGTAAGTATGCAGATCTCAGACTGAACAACTCTATGAAATTACAGCGTCATCGACGATGACTTTCAACATGTTTGTATATCTTACTTTTTGCAGATGACTATGGTTGTTAATGAATCACTGAGACTATACCCACCAGCTTTCAACCTCACAAGGGAAGTTGAGAGAGAGACCAAGTTGGGGAACTACATACTTCCTGCAAAGTTAGCATTGAGTCTTCCCGTCATAGCAATTCACCATAACCCTTTACTATGGGGAGAAGACTGCCATCTTTTCAAGCCAGAGAGGTTTGCTGTTGCTGATGGTGTGGCCAAGGCCTTCTTGCCATTTGGGTTCGGGCCACGAACTTGTGTGGGATCGAGCTTTGCAGCTGCAGAGATTAAGATTGCGCTCTCGATGATTCTCCAACGATACAAATTGAGTTTGTCACCTTCGTATGTTCATGCACCATTCCATATGCTCACTATCTGCCCTAAACATGGACTCCAAATCCTTCTCCACCCGCTCTAACACTGGGTTATAAGATCGACCCAACAAAGATCCATCTTGTTTACAAAACAATATACATCAATATGTCTTCTTCTTTGTTGTCTCAAATGTAAGCTAAGTAAAAGAAACAAAGGAAAATACATGATTTTGTGATGCTGATTATGCTTCGGTTTGCAGCAAATTTGCCAACGGAAGTCCCTGCAATTTTTTTGGGTTCAATTTAACTTCTTGTTTGTTAAGCCTCGTCATCTTTATCTACTAAGCTGGATAAAAGGGTTTGGTTAATTTTGTGATGGACCAGTGAGTTAAGAGTAGTGTGGGAAGCTAGACCAGCACACATGGTAGTGTGGACCTTTTTTGGTGATTGCCCCCATTCACAAAGAACAATGCTATGAAGAAATCAAAATGAATGGTTAGAAGTGTGGAGTTAGGTCTGCCATTTTCTTTCCCACCTGTCTCTTCTTGTTGGGTTGCTTGGCCATTTAAGCCAAGGAAATGTTGATGCCATGTTGGGGAAAAAGGATAGTAAAGAGGTGTATCTTCATATACCACATCTACTGTCAAGCAAAAATTAACAATATAAAAAAAAAAGTACACAGCTGTGTTTCTAACAGGTGTATTGAAGTAACTAGACCAAGACAACTTCAACGCAACTGATTCTGACTCCAAATGAACCGGTTAACTTTCTACCCAATCATCTTCCCAAGTTGGTCACCTCAAAGTTCCTCAAGGATGATTTGGAGGCCATGTTTGGGACAGATGGTCAAAACATGAGCTGGTGAGTGTACATACTTGTCCGAGAGCCTAAACCTGTAACGCTGCAGAATCATGGAGAGTGCAATCTTTTTCTCGGTGATGCCAAAATTGATCCCAATACAATTTCGAGGCCCCAACCCAAATGGAAGAAATGCGGCAGATGAGCTGCTGTTGTTTGTAATACTGGCCTTAGCTACGCCTTCAGCAAATCTCTCTGGTTTAAACAGGTGAGCATCTTCACCCCATGTTTCTGGATCATGATGAACTGCCAGATTTGGGATGTAGACTTCAGTCCCTTTTGGAAGTATTAGCTTCCCCAATTTCACTTCCCTCTGGACTTCCCTCGTTATGTGAAAAACTGAAGGGTATAGCCTCAGGGACTCGTTGATCACCATACTCAGCTGCAAAATAGAAGCAGGAATCAGAATGGTTAAAATCCGTGATAGCGAAATCCAAACGACACAACAATGCAGTTAAAGAGGGGGAAAAGTGTTTTCTTTTCAGCTTACAATTGTTAATCTGGAAATGGCATCAGGAGTTGGAGTTCTGTTGTTGCCAAAGAGTTCAAGAACCTGTTCCCTTGCCTTCTCTTGCCATTCTGAGTGAATAGCTAGCAATAGCATAGTCCAGGTCAGTGAGCTTGCTGTTGTTTCTTGGCCAGCCACATAAAAGGTCTTGCATTCATCAATCAGATCATCCAATGTTATGCTACTTTGTCTGTCTGGATCATTATAAGCCTTGACAAGCATTCCAAGGAAATCAGTGGCAGGAGAACTAAGCTGTCCTTCTTCTTTCCTTTTGTTCAACATGTTCATGATGATGGTCCTGATCTCTTGTTGGAGCTTGTCAGATTCATTCTCATCGCCAGTTCTGAAAATGGTTTGGCAGAATATTTCAAAGTTTAAAGAAAATTCCATAATTCAGTTAATCCATAACCCGACCATAGTCGCGATTTGATCTACCAACAACCTGGTTGACCTGTAACCCACAGGCCACAACCTGGTTGATTGAATTGACTCGTTACCCAATTGATCAGTGACTCTGGTCTACTCGAGACCTGATTAACTCGGTCTGAATAAAATTTGACATGCTCATCCAACACCTTTAAATATTTCAAATTGACCTAAAAAATTGAGCCTAACTCAATTAAAGCTGACAACCCTAGTTGACTACAAGTACAATGTACCGCCTATCAAATAATCCTGCACCATTTTATGATAAGCTCAAAACTTGATCAACTTCTAACCGTATTAGCAGCTAACCCAATTGAACCATAACAAAATTGGTCCATGACCCACTTACCCTTAACCTAGTTAATTCAGCCTGAATCAGACTCAAACCCACCATTTAACACTTCATATTTTACCACTCCAAAATTTCTCAAGGTTCAACAAGCTGAGAATTGAGAAAAACCTCACTTGAGACCAGGAATTCTGACATTGTAGTGGTTTCTTGAGATAATTAGAACCATCTTTGTCAGCAGTTCAAACACTTTCTCCCCTTCCAGGTAGCTGCTTCCAAAAGCTGTCCTGGAAATGATCTCTGATGTTAAAATCTTGAACTCCTGGAATGCATCAATCTCCTTATTCTTCCCTCCAGGATAGCTCTTCCACCTCTCTAGCATCATCTCCACACTAGCAATCATCGCAGGAACCATACCCTGAAAGACCAATGTTCAACAAAAAAATTATCCCTATCAAGTTGAGGGGATAGTTCCCACTGTGCTCTAATTGTTTTCTTCATCAAACCTTCAAGCTTTCTCCATGGAAGGCATGGTTTGCTAGTTTCCGCATCTTCAACCATTTGTCACCTCTAGACAAGACGAGTCCATCGCCTAGAAGAACTCTGATGAAATTATGAAAAGGTGTCTTCTCGTATGTTCCATCTTTATTATTGAGGACTTCTTTAATCAGCTCAAGTTCAGTGACAACTAGCTGAGGCCTGGTGCCATGCCACTGCAGATAGATTTTCCCTGGAAAAAAACCATTAAACTTTCGTCATTCAGCTTCATAGTGACTTTCCAGTGAAGAAACTCTTTTTTTTTTTTTTTTTTTGGGGTAGAAACTCTTTTCTGTAGTAGACTGTACGTGAACTTTATATAGAGTGGTAAAAGCTCTAATGTACCCTTAGATCCCTCTCGCAAGAACATGGCTTATTTGGGGTGGACCAATTTTTCGACATCATATCAAAAGCTGTAATGTGAAATCTAATATTTGAATCATGGCAACCCTTTTATGCTTACCGTAGAGCTTGATCCATGCGTAGATATGAGGCTGCAGCCCTGGAAGGATATGGTGGGAGAGTTCCATGGTTTGCTTTGCAGCTTCAATCCTCATCAGGTTTATCTCCTTGGTGTTTCCATGGATGAATCTATAAGAAGGGCCTTTGATTCCTTGTGCCCTCATCTTGGACTGCACCCGAATCGGAGTCCACCATACTCTGGTAAAAAACCTGCTGATGATCAACAAAAAGTATAAACACAGACATGAAAGGAATGTCAGCAAAATCCCCAGTTCAACCATCTCTCTCTCTCTTTGTTATCTGTTCACGGAAACCCTTTCAGACTTTTATCCCTGATTCAACCAAAACTGTTCTGCTTTTCCTAAGTGCAAGTGGTTAGCAATTAATATTAAAAGGCTTCTGTCATTTTGCCACCTACTGATAACAATATAATACTCAGGAAGAGTCCCTGCCGTTTTCAGAAAAAAGAAAGAAGGTCTTTTATAATACAGATGGCCGGCAAATGAAAAGGCATCTTCTATGACCAAGACTAAAAAAATAGTCACTGTCCATTGCAGGAGGAGAACTAGATGTTGATATATACTAAAGCAAGGCTTCCACCTCGCAAAACCATTAGCCTTGGCCATGGCATTTTTCGTATGTTGTAAAAAAAAGCAGAGCATTTGAGTGTTGGACTTCCATGATTGTTAACAAACAACCACAGCAACAATCCCGGGGCAAGATATATACATGTAATGAAGGTTCAAATGGCTGTTACACAGTTATCACAAATCTTTGCCGCCATTTAGTTGAAGTCATTCATTTGGATCTTCTTAAGCAGAGTTGACAAGGAAAATATAAGGAACACTAAAAAAACTGGAAAATAGTTAACAAACTATAATGCAGGTTTATTGCAGATGCAGGTGGTAGCCATTATTTTACTAGGCTTTGTCATTTGCTCCTAACGGAAGCATATGAATACCGGAGACAAAGATAATGACACGGCAGAGGTCATCTGTTTGCCACACAAATTACCAAAACAATGCAATTGGCCTTTGGTTGAGTGGTTTTATAAAGTTGGTTACTGCTAAGAATAACTTCATATGTTTCTGTATGAGATACTCAAGTGCATGAATGTGAGGCTGGTTGTGAATAAGATTCACAACAGATCTAACATTCATATCCAAATTCTTCTGATGCAAGACACATGCTAGAACGGATCAATCAGAACAAGCTTTGATATATCCAGGATGTGATTTCAGTATGGCATATTTTATGTAGTGTGCTAGTGAATTTCTACAGAGCATGGAGGACAATCTGCACTCCATGTTGTGGGTGAAGTGTGAGAGTACTAGTCGGTGAATGGATGTAAGCAGGCGAAAGTGTGAAAGAATAGCGTTGGAGAATCATGGAAAGAGCTATCTTAGCTTCAACAGCTGCAAAGTTGAACCCAGCGCATACTCGAGGACCCATCCCGAAAGGAATGTAAGCAGACGGAACGCTGTTTGTTGCTTTGGCAATTCCTTCAGAAAATCTCTCCGGCTTGAAAAGGTGCACGTCTTCTCCCCAAATTTCAGGATCATGATGAAGTGGTAGATTTGGGACCCTTATATTGGTATTGGAAGGTATCGTGAAATTCCCAAGTCGAACTTCTTTGTCTGTCTTTCGCATCATAGCCAACACCGGAGGATAGAGTCTCAACGTCTCATTTATGATCATGCTCATCTGCAAAGCAGCAGAACGCTAGTGATGTGTGATCCTCACTAACGGTGACAAAGTTATGACTATTAGAAGTTCAGAAAATTTACTTACATTCTTGAGTTTCGAAATGCCATCTGGGTCAGGAGTTTGGCTCCCGAAATGAGTCACAACTTCTTTTCTTGCTTGCTCTTGCCATTCTGTATGCATCGACAGAAGTAACACTGCCCATGTTAGCAACATGTTGGTTGTTTCTTGTCCACCAATATAAAACGTCTTGCATTCATCAACTAAATCATCCACTGAAATCTTTTTAGATTCGTCGACTTCATGATGAGCCTTCAAGAGCAATCCCAAAAAATCACCTCCATAGCTATCCAATTCTCCACTTGTCACCATGTTTTCACGCTTCCTGACCATCGCAATGATCAAGTCGCGTACCCCTCGCTTAAGCTTCTCTGCCTCAATCTCATCTCTAGTTCTATATATCTTGCTGCAAAGAGGAAAATATAAAGATTATTGCATAGAATCCACATTGATGACATCAAAGTAATACAGCATTGAAGTGGGAAAAGGCTTGGACCTTAGGACAGGAAGCCTGATAATAAAAGTATTCTTAGCTACAAGGATGGCCAATTCGGTTAACATTTCAAAGATGAGTTTGCCTTGAAGGTAGCTACTCCCAAAAGCAGTTCTGGAAATCACTTCTGATGTAAGTAACTTGAATTCTCCAAACACCTCAATCTCTTCTCCCTCATGGTTATTCCACCTTTCAAGCATTATTTCCGTACTAGCAATCATAGCTGGAATCATATTCTGAGAGAAGAAAAACTAAAACCTCACAATCCACACATAAAATTTTGGTAGAGACCTTTCAACAAACACCTAGTGTGCAAACCGCAAAGCACCAGCGTACCTTTAGGCTCTCTGCCTGGAAAGCATGGTTGGCCAACTTCCTCATCTTGGCCCATTTCTCACCTCTCGATGTCACCAGGCCGTCTCCTAGCAGCTTCCTCAAGTACTCAGTAGGCTCCGCCTTGGAGTAAACTCGCTCCTTGTCATTCAGCATCAACTTCACCAGCTCAGGCTCCAATACAATCAGCGTCGGTTCAGGACCAAGCCAGAACACGAAATTCCTCCCTACCCACAAACCCCACTGGTCAGAAAAAAACTGCCATCGCTGAAAAGTTGTATGCTTTGACACTTGTCTTTTCTTTTACCGTATTTCTCCGTCCAGGCGGAAACATGAGGCACCAGCCTGCCACAGATGTCGTGGGAAAGACTCGACATGGGCTTGGCCATGGACTCTGTTGTCAACCGGCGAATCTCAAGGGCGTTGCCGTAGATGAACTGGTAAGGAGGGCCTCTGATTCCTCCCGAATTGAACTGTCGCTGAAGCAGAAGAGGCTTCCGCAAAGTCTTGTTCAGGAATGCGATCAAACCCACAAGAAGAATTGCGCAGAGGCAGAGAGCCGGCGGCGAGAGTAGGATCAGGGGAATTCCCAGAAGACCCATTTCGTTTGGCGAATTCAAATTGGGAATCGTATCCTGAGCTTTGTGATTATAAACGATAGCTGCATCGCTGCGTTTGACTTTGGGTTTGATTTGCTTTCACCGTAATAGTATAGGACAAAGTAGTAGGGCCAAAGGGTAGGCTGAAAGCCTGATACTTTTGTCGCCATTGGATTGGGATCGTTCATTAGGATCTTCTTTCTGACACTTTTTTTTCCCGCAACGATAATAGTCGCGCATGAAATGAACTGTATAAAAGCCAGATAACTGAGTCCAAATGAAAGCGCTAAAATAGTTAAGCAAAGGCCATTTTTCCATTCAGGTTAATTACTGCAGAACTGAAAACCAGAGAAACGAAAAAGGGAAGTAACTTTATTTAGTGATAAGTCTGCTAGCCCATTATTTCAGAATATCATATATAGATACAGCAGTATGGTCTTTCTACTTCTTGTGGAGATTCTGGAAGTAGGCAGAAGGGTTCTTCTCAAACTCGGCCCTCGAAATGTGATGGTCAGCTCCAGGGGCCTTCATGGTGCCAGAGCCAGTTGCTACAGAAGAGGAGCCAGCAGCAGCACACTTTGCAGAAGATGCAGCCTGATTGTTGTTGCTTCCTGCTGAAGAGCCCTTGTTCCCGCTTTCCATTTCTGCTGCCCTAGTTAAGCTACTTAGACTATTGATGTTTAAGGTGGAAGGTGAGAGATGTTGCCAGTATGCTCTGCAGATGGAAGGTGTTTGGTGGGGAGAAATGGGGATGAATTCGCTAAATACAGATAAAACTAAAACAAATTCCTAAACTACCACACTTTTAAAAAAATTTCCCAAAATACCTAAGTTTGGAGTGGTTCGAGTTTGAGGAACTCGAACTACTAACCGGTTCGAGTGTAGGAGACTCGATCTAGTCGTAGATCGATGATATAAGCCTCGAACCACTGAACTCGAACCACTCCTTTGAAATTTCCAACAAGCTTAACTTTGTGCTCGGTTATCCGATCGTAGCAAAGTTTTTTTTCATTTCGCATAACTTTTCGAGGACTACAACTTTTATGATAGAAATATTTTCAGAATATATGTGAAAATGTGAAAAATAAAGTTAAATGTACTCCCAGACCACCTTATATTAAAAACTATTCTTATTTTGAAAATTTATTCCTAGTAAATGTTGTAGTACTCAAAAAATTATGCAAAACAAAAAAAAACTTTGCGACGTTCGGATTGCGGAGCACAAAGTTATGATCCTCCAAAGTTTGACAAATTCAAAAATTTGCTCGTTTATGAGTAGCAAATGACGTTTTCTAGGAAGATAGCCATCCAAAAATTTCTCGTTTGGAAAAATATTGCTCTTTTGGAAGAAATTCCCTATATATAAAAAAATTTCCCGTGCCTTCGCCCCGAGAAAATGTCATTTGTTACCCCTAAACGAGCAATTTTTTGATTTTTACCAAACTTTAGAGGATCATAACTTTGTGCTCCGCAATCCGAATGTCGCAAAGTTTTTTTTTATTTTGCATAATTTTTTGAGTACTACAACATTTACTAGGAATAAATTTTCAAAATAGGAACAGTTTTTAATATAAGGTGGTTTGGAAGTAAATTTAAATTTATTTTTCACATTTTCACATATATTCTGAAAATATTTCTATTATAAAAGTTGTAGTCCTCGAAAAGTTATGCGAAATGAAAAAAAAGTTTGCTACAATCGGATAACCGAGCACAAAGTTAAGCTTGTTGGAAATTTCAAAGGAGTGGTTCGAGTTCACTAAACTCGAACCACTTCAGCTCCACATGATTCGAGACTTATATCATCGATCTACGACTAGATCGAGTCTCCTACACTCGAACCGGTTAGTAGTTCGAGTTCCTCAAACTCGAACCACTCCAAACTTAGGTATTTTGGGAAATTTTTTTAAAAGTGTGGTAGTTTAGGAATTTGCTTTAATTTTATCTGTATTTAGGGAATTAATCCGAGAAATGGAGGACATGGTGGGAGCTTATTATATACCTGATCTGATCGCAGGTAACTGGGAGAATGGAGATACCTGGGAATTGGGAAGTGGATAGTCAAACATTCAGATTCATTCCCTTCTCGGGTATAGAGTATTGACGATTTTTGTTTGACTTCTGATATTGACAATTAAGTAGGCTCTCTTTCACGGAAAAAATCCCAGAATACTCAAGTTATTAAAAAAAATTCCCTAAATACCGTACTTATAAAATTAATTCCCAAAGTACAGCAGTTTCAACATCATTGTCTTAGACAAAGACAGTGATACGAATCACCGCTTTTGTTTAAAACAGTGAAACAGCGGGGAACGTATCACCGCTTTTGACATCAACAGGGATGGCATCACCGCTTCTCTCAAAAACAGTGATTGCCTCACCGCTGTTGTGCAAAACGGTGATATTTACCACGTTTTAGAGCCCTGGTAGGTGGAAAATTAGGTAACAGCTACCTAGCTATCACCGCTGTTGACTAAGGCGATGATGTGTTCACCGCTGTTGTCTGCAGCGGTGATTAGCTTTCATTTTTCCCTATAAAAACCAACGTCCACTTCCCTCCTGCGGCCTTACAGCAAATTAGTACAAAAATTATCGTTTTTTTAGTCGTTTTCTCAGCTGGTTCCTACGTAGTTTACTGCTCAAGAAACTCGTCGGGATTCGGTATGTTAGAATTATGTATTGTTTACATTTTGATGTGTAAGTAATTATATGTCTGTATTTAGTGAATTGCGGTTATTGGAAAATATGTTATGATATATTTAGATTAATTATGATATGATAGATGTTAGTTAGTACTGAATTTATATTAATTTGTTTAGTTTTCTCATGATAGATCGGGATTGAGTATGTTATAAGTATGTATTTTTTACATGTTGATGTGTTAGTAATTATATGTCTGTATTTAGTGAATTGCGGTTATTGGAAAATATGTTATGATATATTTAGATTAATTATGATATGATAGATGTTAGTTAGTTAGTTATGAATTTAGATGAATTTGTTTAGTTTTCTCATAATAGATCAATTAGTTGCATTTTATTATGGGTTTGGATGATATTGTTTTTGTATCCATAATGTACTAATTATATACTATACTTAATTATTATAAATTGCAGACATGGGTAAATTTAAGAAGTTTCGGCTTCTTATTTGGTAGAATGGTCGGGTGACAAACTCGAACATTGGGATCGACTATGAAAATGGCGAATCCAGTATGCTTAAAATTGAATCGAGATTCTCGTGGCAAGAACTCCATGACAGGTGTGCAGAAAGGACTTGTACGGGCGGGCAAAGGAGTGTTCGTCAAATTACTTACCGGTATCCCAACATGAGTGCTGACGGAGTCATGTACGAAAAAGTTGACATAAATGATGATGACGACGCGAACATGATGATACAGTTCATATCTGAGAACGGGGTGCGGCTTGCAGAGGTGTATGTCGAGACCGAGCCGGTCGGTGAAACTCATTCTCACCAGTATTCTTATGATGATGGTTTTGCAGGAGGGTATGGCTGGGGTGGCAGTTCAAGTAACTACAGAGGAGGTACTTCTGCAGGAGGGTATGGTTGGGGAGGTACTTCAAGCAACTACGGAGGAGGTAGTTCTGAAGGAGGTGTTGGGTGGGAAGAATACCCGCAACATGATGAGATTGCCGTCAATATCGTTCAGCCCGACGGTGATCAATTGCCTGCTTGGGGTCCAGAGTGGGCTGACATTGAAAACACCCTTCGATCTGGGCGTACTTCGCATGACCAAGAAGACGATGCTGGTTATGCTGGTAACGATGACCATCCTGAGCCGAGCTATCCATTCGCCTCCAGTGACGATGAAAGTGAGGAAGATTTTAGATCAGTCAGTGAGGAGGAAGATACGGACGATATCGACGATATCGATGACAGAGAGGTGGCGTTCCGTCAGGCACCAACGCCTTACTACACAGAGGTTCCTGATCAATTTTTATATGGTCAGAACGATGCCCCTGACTTTCGGCCCATGCCTGTGTATAATCCGACTGCTAATTTGGAAGTGGGTATGGCGTTCACTTCGAAAGCCGATGTGCAAGATGCTTTTAGCGAAGAAGCCATGCGACGTAACTTCGAATGGAAGGTAAAATATTCTGACAAGGGACAACTGCATGTCATTTGTAAGAATGCTGAAGAGGGTTGTATGTGGCAACTTCGTGCTGCATATATGAAGAGAAAGGGCGTCTGTGTCATGCGGACAGTAGAGAACAACCACATATGCTCCTCAACCATACTTTCACATGATCACCGGCAACTGAAAGCAAAAAAAGGGGCAAGAACCATTAAGCACCTAATCGAGGCACAACCAGATATCAAGATAAAAGCTATCATGGCGGAGGTGAAGGATCGACACTCCTACAACCATTCCACAATGTGCCAGCAGATTAAGGGCACCTTGCGCAACCATGTCTCTTGATCCTCGGGATGTCTAAGACGATGCAACTCAACCACTTCATTTGGATATGGATCCCATACCGCCTACAATCATTATAATTCATGGAATTAGTAAAATACTATATCCACTCCACCTAAAAAATTGAAAATCATGAAATTTTATATTTTTACCTGGTTCCACCAAGGCTTATCAAATTCAGCACGATAATACAGTAAAGAGTGCTCGGGCTGGTGGTCGTTTGTATTTGCTCCGATCCACCTAATTAAGCAAAAGTACATATATAAGCAATTTTTAAAGCATAGATGTTTACTTGTTAAGTATGATTGTATGGAAGCATCTAAATTGAAATAAAATTCCTTACTTGGCAATAATCTAAATTAGCTAAATACGATTTGGTTAGAATAAATCTAAATTCGCTTACTTGGAAGATATCTAAATTCACTAAAATACTATAATTGCAGACTTAAAATGTCTCTAAATTCGCTTAGTTGGAAGATAGCTAAGTTCACTAAAATACTATAATTGCATACTTAAAATGTCACTAAATTCGCTTACTTGGAATAGATCTAAATTCACCTAACTAGCTACCATTGCATATCTAAAATAAATTCAACTTAAATTGAACTTACTTGAAACCATGTGGGGGATTGGCTACAAATCGTAG